ATGCATCTAAAGGTTGCAGGACATCGTCCCCCAAGTAATTCTAGATGTGAGGTTTACACAGAAGCAAAATTGGCTCTGTGGATCAAAACCGAAACCAAGGACTGAATATACAAAGTATTCATGAAGGGCCTGCCTCAAGCATCTGTGTGGGTGTCCTGCTTTCTTTCTCCATTTTTTGGAGTTTTCATTGCTGGTAATGAAGCAATGAAAGCTGGACACCATGTCGGGTGAGAGAAATATTAGATATGTAATAAAAATAAGAGATGTTCAGGAGGACCTAACAAAGGTTGATATTTAATTTGCTTTTCTTGATTGAAAATGATGAGACATTTTCAAATGCAGGGAAGTGCATTTGAAAATGAAGTGTAGAGTAAAGCCGACCCACAGAGCAAAAAGCAGAATATAAGTGGTTTAAATTTATTTATCTGCGTTATTTTCCCTTTTGCTGTAGCTGCTGTAATTTTTAAACCTGCAATACAAAGAAACCGGACTAATTCCCTCGTTTGTTTGTAGAATGTGGCGGTAGTCATAACAACCATCAAACTGGATGAAATATTTCAGTAAGCATAGGAGCCATGGTTTGTTAAATTTTAACAAACTAAATGTAATTATGTAAAGTGAAATTACTGACCAGTTCTCAAAGAAGTGGAACAGGGCAGTTCACATTAATAATTAATTTCAAATTAACAGATAAATATGTGTGCGTTTGTGTTTAATTCTAGTAAAGATATGATTTTGTCGCATGTTAACCTAATGAAATGTTTTTGTGTGAAAACAACAAAATTTAGTTAGGTGAATTAGACCACCGATACCTCTCTTGGCCATAAGGGGGCAGTAATCCAACAATAAAACTGCACTAAAAGAAAAACCAGTTTAAACCGGATTAGTCTGGACGTTCATCCGCAGATTACAGTCATGAGCCACTTTGAGTCCCAATTTTCTCAGTTTTATTAGGTAAGGATTATTTAGTCTACCAGTTTGCTGTTATTGTTGTTTATTGATAATGTATTTAAAAATATGCGAGGAGCGGTTGGAGGGACGCAGGCCTCAAACTAAACAGGCTTCCTGTTAAAAATGAAATCAGTGGAAGTTGACTATGTGCCTCTCTTTTTTAATTTTTATTTTAACTCGGCGCCAATCACCTGGCCCATCTTTCTTTTAAAATGTTCTACCTGGACGTTACTTTTGCGGGAGGGTTTGTCCGTATCGGAATTTATATTATCTGTAAATAACTGCTAAATTGGAAAATTCTCCTTGTTCATTGGTCCAACAGTGACTCCTAGTGGTTAATTTTGCTTTCATTTTAAAGAACGGTAGAGTTCTTTGTTTATTCTGTGGTTACCTAGCAACACCCTGCGACATGAGACAACGTTAGATTATAAAGAAACCCGGAGAAAATCTTTAAAATAGCGCCCTCGGAAAGCAGAATGAGGTATAAATATATGTAATTGTGATTTGTAATAAGAAATGTTATAGGTTTATTTAAGAAACAGTACAATGTCGTGGTTTATAAACGAAACTGTATATTAACGAGTTAAAGGACATAACGTATTTTTTTGTGTATAACTGAATATTGATATGTTGATTTTATACGAGAGCCGAGTATGTCCAACGGTTCTGTATTATTTTGTTTTATGCTACAGTTTTTACGGTGTCAATGGAAAGAAAGGTTGAGATTAAATTGCACCCGTTTCAAACTCCCTGCGTCTGGCTGTTCAATCCGAGAGGCCGCTACATTATCTCTCTATCAAAGCTATTTTTAGATTAATATAAAAGATGAATGTGTTTAGTCCTCTCTTCCATCTTGACAGAAACCAAACTGTTTATAGATTTATATCCAGAGAAAACATATTTTACGTATCAGAACATCAGTCATATTTTATAAAAATGTGGTAAGAAATCAGGATGCTACGACCATTTTTGTGACAGATTCCTCCTCATCCTGGACCGTCTGGTCCAGGATGAGACAAGCGACTAATAGGCGAAACCAAACTAGTAATTTATATCAATGGAGAAATCATCCAACCGCTAAAATCTGACGCCTCCATTCTCGTTTATATTATGCTTATGTTTGAATAAGGAAGTTTTGCTCTGTGTCTTCTGAAGAGACTTTTGTCATTTCCTTCAGTTATTCTTGATGCAGCGCCCCCACAGGCGAGGAGGGGAACTGGTTTTTCAATTAGTTGAGTGAAAATCGAACCGCAGCAGCTGAAAATGTAACAAATGTCCGAGTCTACCGAACTATCAGGTGTGAAAACATCCTTATAGATTTCAACCAACAGCTCTACTGAGGAAAAATACATAAAATCACACAGACTGGAGCTTTTTCTTCCCCTCAAAGCTTAAATTGAATGGAGGAAGGAGTTTTATGCTCGTCAAAACCTCAAGAGAACTGCAACTTTGGTTTGATGTCTAAAAATACACAGCAGAAATTGCCAGTGTTGCAGCAATGTGCCAATTAAGGATGAGGTTATGAGGTAAGCCAGTGATAACAATAAGGAGCACGGCTTTTTCAACCCACCAACGCATTACATGAAGGGGAGGAGGAACTGTAAAAACAACTTCCTCTATTCAAGACATAAATCACATGACGGTGTGTGATTCACCTGCGGTGTAATAGTTACTGTTCAGGGTGATTGTAATTAGAAGCCTTTGTGTTTGTAGTACAAGCAGTCCTCAGTTTCTAATTATTAAATTCTTCAAACATTCATTTCATTTCAGCTCTTGTCAGGTCGGAGTAACATGCTAATCAACAGTCTCTTCATATTTCTGAGTATATCTGTAAATGTCAAACAGCAGCTGCTCCTAGTTTTGAATGGGAATAATTTCCTTTGACTTGTATTATTAAGTGGATGTGTGAATTACAAGGTGGAGGCTCAGCATGTGGAGCAGTCTTCAATTAATTAGATTAATGGTTTAGATTGAGGGGTTTTATGAAAAGTCTCTTTTTATGGGAAGTAAAGCTGGAACACTAATTTATACAATACATTTGATGTCAACAGAAAAAGTGGGAGAAACATCCAGACTTTATAAACTAAAACTATAAATAAAAAGGATATTTTTATTAAAATCTGTCTGGTATTAAAAAGTCATAAATAAATATAATTAATGAAATTATTTAAAACCAAAAAAAAAATCCAAGAACCATAAAATAAAGAAAAAAGCTGAAACTGAGAATCCTTGAATCCAACCGTTTTTATAGGTTTGATATTTCACTGAACCCTCAAAGTTGTTAGCTTTGCTGCTACTTCAACTTTCTATTTGACTTTTGAATTTCTGTTTGTAGCAGGTGACTCTTTATGACTGAACTTTCATTTAGAAAAGGAATGAAGGAAAAACTGTTTCTGAATGTCATGTTTATCAGGTCTGTTAGTGCAACTTGAAAGGAATCTGTGAGGATACATCTTCACTGCAAAGACACAAAAATAATTGTGTTTTTGCAATTATTTCAAAACTTGTGTTTATTGCACGAGCTCCTACTTAGCTTTGTATTATTTCAGGTCCACTAAGACATTTTCACTAAAAATTAGACCAAAACTACTTGGTAATATTTTATTTTTGCAGCGAGATTAACCAAATTCTGTCACCTTGTGAGCATAAATCCCTCTGTTATCATTTCTCTCTACTTTCCTTTCAGAAACGTAGCTGTGAACTGTCTAATTGTGCTCGTTTCTCAGCTCTGTAGAGGCATGTCTGCGTGACAAAGAAAAGTGTAATTGTGTTTGAGGGTGAGGGCTGTGAGTGTGACGGGATGTGCAGCTGCTCTCTTGTTCACAGCTGACTGCCTGTTTGTATTTGTGTGCCATGGCTGCTGATGAGTTATTGACTGCTGGGTTCAAAGCTGTATAAACCGACTCTTCCTCCCTCTGGAGGGCAACCAGATCATGTGCTTTTGTATCTACAAAGGAGTCTGGACAGCATGGATCGTCTGTTGTTCTAATCAAATTAAGGTCAAATCAGGAGAAAAAGAAAAAACAAGAAAGACCTACAATCTTCTGTCCATACAGTGACCCAAATCTGGACTGCCGTAGCGTTTATGTGACTCCAGATGCCAAATTACATCAAATTACTCAAGTTTAGAATCCAAACTCAACAAATCCCAACATAATGCATAAATGTGATTTTTTTATTTTTTTTTTTTTGCGAAAATCGTCAATTTGGTTTAAGAGATGCTAACTCCCACCTGAAGGTGGCAGCATTTCCCACTTTTACTACACTGCTTCCTCCACCTTATTTGATGTTGATACTGAAAATAACAAAAGTCACATTTAATGTCATTAATATTGCAAAATTCCTTGCAAAAATGTCTAAATTAGCAACAAGAATTCTGTGATTTTGATCGCAAAAAATTCTAAAACAATGTTTTGATATTTTTAAAACTAAATATCATTTAGTTTTAAAAATTCCAGATGCAGAGACAGATATTATTTTTGCAGATTAATGGGTTTTATCAATGCATGGTGGTACAACCGGCCCTTTGAGAACACTAGCGTCAAACTTACTTTCATTTTGGCCTCTTCAAAATCATTAAAGGACCAAAATCTGTTGACATTTTTAACTTCCTCTCTTCAGAACAGTAAAGAAAACTGTCCTCTTTGTTTTATTTTTTTTTTACAGAGCAATAAATCAGTTTATAAGAAACTTAGTTTTGCCATGGAGATGCTAACAGGGCTAAAGGTTGATCAGAACAGTAAAGAGATACTTGATTGCTGCATATTGAGTTTAATAGAGGCTACATAATCCCAATCCAAACCACTTTTTGGCTTGATAAACATTAATTTCTTATCGATCACCTTCTCAAAGAAGTTTCATATTTTATATCTGAGAAGCTAACTCTGACTAATTTCAACTGACTCTTGAAAAAATGTGGATTTTGTTTCATTTTTTTCTTGCGCATAACCAAGGAGGTTTTAGTTTAAAAGCCATTAAAATAAGTTTTGAACATGTGAATATTTGTATACATTTAAGTAATATTTACCTGAATTGTGTGTGTTTTTCAGATACTCCAGAGAATGAATGCAGTTAAACTTGAGGTGAGTTCACTGATGCATGTCTGTCAGTCCGTCACAAAATGTTGTTCCTGGGCGCCCTCTAGTGGTCCGAAAGGTACCGCATGTAAGCAACTGTTTTACTGTGACATCAGCTCAAAGTGCGATGCTACAGCTAGCTTACCAACTTACAAAAAATAATGGATAAATGGCTTAGTACCGGGTCACTCAAGAAAAACTGAAGATGTCTGTGAAAACAACTCCAGGATTACTTTATATGATTAAAGGAAGTCAAGTCGTTCATTAGCGATTCGATTCTTTTGAACAGCTCAGTTAGTGAGAATGGTTCTTTATTTTTGACTTTGCTAGCTTATAATGCTCTGCTGGCACGTCAACCGCTTTTATTTTTAGTTAAAGAGTTCGGACATTTTTTTATCTAGAAAATTTCTGAGATTAATCTCCATTACAATTTTTTCTTCTAGAAAATTTTCAACTTTATATTTTATATGCCAAAGTAAAAAACCCTTTCAAATCTTAGATCTACAATAAATATTTATTTTAGAAAAAAAATATTGAAGTTCTTTATTTGCTTGATTTTGGGTTGTTAGTTTTCAACTCCACAGTTTGACCCATATGACAAAAAGTTTGGACACAAAAAGTTCATCCACATTGTCTAATGTTTTTTTTAAAGCTTTTCCACTAAATTTGATGCAATCTGGAGGAAATTCAAATGCAGAGAAGAAAGTAACCAAGTGGTTTGTTGTTCAACACAGAAATTAACAGCTAGTTAAAATGAATAAAATCCATTGCATCTAATGAAATCTTCTGCTGTAAAAACCGTCTGACCTCCAGTTGAGCATGTCCTCATGTTACATGCATGTGTCGCCTATCCTTTCTGTCCCATTAGAGCATCCTTAATGAATCATGACAACATGTAATGAAGTAATTTTCTGGCAGATATGATGTGCTGTCCTGCTGTGCTGTCAGCTTCAACACCAAACCTGATGTCTTTTATTTATAGCGGGAGCCAGATGCAGCTGCCTTCCTTTAAATAATTAACTGCTGAAGACTAAGTTAATGTGCGGACGCACAGTTTCCTCTTTGACCCATCTGTCAAGCAGAGAGACTAATAAACTGTCAGTGGAAATAAACAGACTTAAGATAACAGCTTAAATTGTACGCAGCTGGCAGCGATAGTGTGCCACTTACTCAACACACCTAACACTGCAAAAAGAGAAAACGAGTCTGTCAGTATTATTACTGTTATGCTCCAATTTGGATCCGTCACCAGGACTGGAAAATGTGCCCATCAAATATTATTAATGTAATTATAATGCTGTCATGACACAGGAAGAATGCACTTTGTATCCCTACCACTTAGCATTTGCTGTCAACGTCTTAATCAGCAGAGCTGTTGATACATTCTGCATTTTAACAAATCCAAGCAAGAATATTAAGTTGATCCGATTCAACACGACAATCTTCATGCTCACTTTCAGGCAGAGAAAATGTTTATCCAGTTGGTTAGGTTTGTCTGATATCCTTCAAAAATCAGCAACATTATGAAATGATTATCCATTTTGTTTTTGGGACATTTCTATAGAGATGTACAAATAATGAACCACCTCCATATTTCTCAAAGTAAAGTTTGTGGAATGTGGTCGCTGACAACTTTTATATTTGTCTAAATTATAAATTGTCACTGCAAAACCACAAAATCTTACCAAGTACTTTTTATCCAGTTTCTAGTGCAATTATCTTAATATACTTGAAATAAGAAAAAATTAACTTGAATAACTTTTCAGTAAGAAATATGAGATTGTTTTAAGACAATAATTCCTTAATATACGCCAAAAAGTTCTTGTTCCTCTGGAAGATTATTTCACAAAGAGAACTGTGCCGTTACCTAGCAACGCCAGCCAAGCCCAGCCCGTTACCTAGCAACCCAGTTCTGTTACATTGGCAGATTACTTTACCAAAAATGGAGAAAAAAAAATCTTGTAAGTGAAATAGTCTGCTAGTGGAACAAATATTTTTTTCAATATTAAGG